CTTACAGTGAGAGCATACATGACCTTTCCAGCTTTGACCTTCCACTTTTTTGTTGCTTCAACATTTGTTGGTGGTGTGGTTACTGATCCATCGATGATATCCCATAATTCCTGGCCGAGAAAATATTATTGCATTCTCGTGCTCCATGATCCGTAGTTGCTTGCATTGAGCTTCTCAACGCTATTGAGAGTGCTAGCAAAATCCGTCATTGATTAGTGTCTTGCGATTTGTAGCCTTTAACAGTAGCTTGTAGAATCTTCTTTGATTTACTACCTCGCTCTTATCCACCAGGCTCTGATACCACGTGTTGAATATTATTGTTTGGGAGACGACGGGCACAATCAATTTCTGACAATTTGAATTTTATTATATCAAAGTAAGGACCCACTTTGATCTTACAATCTTGATCACACTTGTTGCTTGCTTCAGCAACACTCTTAACTTAGCATTCACTCTTGTTTTCTCTCTTACTTTCTTTTTTGCTTTCTTACTTTGTTTCTTGCTTGGTTGGTTACAACTCAAATGAACCACCTCTATTTATAGGTGGTGATGGAAGAATCTAGCTAAGGATTTTGCTACTATATTCTAGAATGTTCTTCAAACTACCTATTTCTAGAACTACCTTTTCTAGAATATCTCTAGACTTTTCTCTCTAGAATACTCATTCTAGAGATCTTTCTTTATTTCTTTATTACTCTTGAATATTTTAGATTCTTCTTTGAAATGTCTTGGATATTAATTAAGTTGGTGATGATTTCTTAATAATCGTGTGTTGGTATAACTTATCTAATCTTGTTTCTCTCTTTAGTTTGAATATTCACATTTTGCAAGATACCTCATTGTAAACAATGGTGACCAAACTAACGCCAATAAGATTAACAACAATCCAGTCATCATGTGGCTTATGCTTATTGTTTTTGGTATATATTTTAGGACTCGAATGGAGAATTCTTATTGGTTGAGATCTTATTGTCTTTGTAACACATAAATAGTTCACCCCACTCCCTCTCATAATTCATTCATATTTCAGAACAATACAATAATATTACTTTGGCTAAACCCATCAGTAGCCTCCTAAAGTTGGCACAAAATTTCACTTAGACACCTCAACTAGCTAATGTTCATTTTAGACACCTCATGTAGGATTTCAATGCGTCATTTTGATACCTTTAGCTAACATGACATGGTAAGTTTAATGCACCAAAAATCAGCGCGTGAAGGAGCTCTTTTTCATGCCAAAAAAATAATATTTAAAAGGCCAAAACTACTCTTCTTCCTCATTCTCTCCTCCACCACACACCATCCATTCACCACCGCTGCCACCATCACTATTAATACAATCGAATTAGTTTTTTAATTTTTTCAGTTCCGAAAATCACCGCAACCATCATCATCTTCTCATTCTTATTCTTTAGATCCAACAATTACAACTTTTATTGCAATCTTTCAAGTTCAGTGCTACACACCATTGTACATCTATTACACCCATCAAGTTCATATATGCAGATATTCATTCTAAACGGGAGGGACTACAACGTACAAATAATACATAGCATTCATATATGTGCTCCTTTTATAGTTTTATTCTTTTTGGAGGCATTGTAATATTAGATACACAATTAAAAAGCATGAAATTGATAACATACAAATTAAATCCACAAAAAAAGAAGATATGAATTTAATAAAAAAAACCCAAAAAGAAAAAAAGCAAAAGAAGAAATTAGGGGTAAAGAGGAGGCGCCGGAAAAGTTTGGAAGAATGAGGAAGAAGGGGTGGTTTGGTGGGGTTTTTGAAAATAAATGCTTTTATTTATTATTTTTGCAAAATTAACTTTTCCTTATAATGTATTTTTAAAGTATTATTTTGTACTTAAATATCACGTGTCGTTCCTTAATTAGCCATTATATTACATTATTCGCGAGTATGTTACACGCACAGTGTAATTTTACTGGATTGTCAAAAAAGTATCAAAATGACACAACGGGATCCTACATGAGGGGTCTAAAATGAACATCGTTCAATTGAGGTGTCTAAGTGAAACTTTGTGCCAACTTTAGAGGGCCACCGATGGATTTGGCCTATTACTTTCTCTCTGATTTTCTATTTTTTTTCTCATTGTGTTCTAAGCTTCATTGTTTCGAGTTTATTTCCAAAAATGCAATGATCATTCTTATACACTCCGTCCTGTGATCCAAGAGAATTTGGAATCTTTACTTTGCTTTTATTTCGTGTTATTTATTTTACACTTATATCCTTAATTCTTGTAATATTAAAACTATTAATCAATGAACTAAATCGATGACACGAGTTCTTGATCTCTTATAAATTTAACTGTATTATTTTTTTGGTAAATAACTATATTAACCTTTAAATATAATAATTTTAGTATTTTGGGAAATGACTATAGCTTCCGTTAAGGGTAAAATAGGTATATAAAGTGGTAATTTATCTCTTGATTTTTTAAATTGGACAAATAATCACGAGAAACTACATTTAGTATAATGGACATAGATGAAAAGAGTAATAGATAAAAAGATTTAATCTTTCACAAAATTGATAATAATAAACTAGATGATACTTTTTTTTTCAATTTTAACTGACATTTTTTTTTGGTAGAGAAAAAATAATATCATTTTATATTTAATAACAATTGAATTTTAGACTTTCTATTGTATTTTTAATGAGATGATATTTATAGGTATAAAAGTATTTGTGACTTATTTTAGAACAAAAATTTTTTTAAAAAAATAAAATCTTTCATTTTTATATTTTGTGTTCAATTAACAACCTTCACATAGATTGAGAATTGGAACTGACTTAAGAGTCACGGATTATTGAGAATTGGAATTGACTTAAGTGTCACGGATTATTGAGGATAATACATCTAATTAAAGAAGATGACATTTTAAATAATTAACTTATCTACGTAATAGATACTTGAAAACACGCATAAAAGCAATATCAATTCTTTTGTTAGACTGTTTTATAGGAGCACTTTATTATTTATTTAGATGCTCAATCAAAACGATTCTTTTTTTCCTACTGTAGTAAGTTAATAAACTATAAATGTATTCAACGTAGTAAAATACATTGATAGTGCATTAGACTATAAATATATATGATTAAATCCATTTTAGAATTATATATTATTTTATTTGTCCCAATTTATGTAGTATTATTTGAATTTCGAGAGTCAAACATTTTAATTTTGAATATAAATTTGGATATAAAATCTTTGAGTTTCTTCAAATAAAATTTACATATTTAAAAACTACGTAAAAAGTATTATAAATCAAAATAGTTAAATAATTCCAAATATTTAAAAACATATAAAAAATTTTTATTTAAATCTCAAAATTCAAACAAAAAAAAATCACATAAATTGAGACAGAAAACTCGAAAATTCAGAAAGACCTGATGCCGACGGCTCCGACACCCCATACACGGTTCACGCTGTGCCACATTAACGCGTATATTATGTACAACAATACAAAAAGCATATAATAGTCAAGTATTTTTCTACGTACTTTCTCTGAAAAAAATTTTCTTTGGCACAAACTAAATTAATATTACAACAGAGACTAATTTAATATTGAAGTAAAAAACTTCGTTAAAGGTATCTAGGATTTTATTTATATATATGAAAAATGATTTTTAACTTGTATATTTCATACAATTTTTTATATACAACATATAATTTTTCGACGAATGATGTGTACTTGGCCACTGTGGCGGAGTCACCTTATAGTTAGGGGGTTCATCCGAACCTCTTCGGTGAAAAATTATATTATTATTTATACATGATTAAAATAATTTTTTGAGTATATAAAAATATCGAACCCCCTTCAATTATTTCATGTGTCTTGTTTCAAATTTTAAACCCCTTATTGAAAATTCTAATTTCGCCACTGATCATGAAATATATATGGCTACGCCCCTACAAATATTAGTTATAATAATAATGATAATAATAGAGAAAATATTTGGAAACCTTGTGAAACAAGCATCTTAGCTAATACGTACAACTTGTTTTGTCACATAAAATCAAATAATTAAAGCCTCCAAAGGTGTTCTGTTTTTTTTTGTTTCGACAGCGTGATGTCATTTTATCGCAATATGAACAAATGTGGATGTCAATTCTAATATTATTATAATTCAAACTTTTTAAAGATTATTATTACTAGTAATATTTTGGAGAGAGAAAAAAAGAAAGAGATGTGGGTTTACGCGTAGAGAGATTAGATGAGACGTTGTTTTTGTTTGAAGGATAACAAATACAGTCCCTCCGTTTCTTTTGAGTTGTCATGTTTCACTTTTTGAAAATTAATTTGACTAATCAAATTACATTAATTTGATAATTTTAAAAATGAAATTCAAACATTTAAAAATTATATAAATAAATACTATAAATTAGTATATTTTTTTCCATATTAGTGTAATGAAAAATATATATATCTTAAAATATTAGTCAAAATTCATATCGTTTGACTCTAAAATAGAAATTTTTGACAAGTAAGAAGAAGGACAAAGGGAGTACCTACTTCTTTGTTCTATTTTTACTTTTTCAATAATGACTTTACATAATCTTAAAAAATATAAAATGATAATTTTATTATATTACTTTTGAATATAATAAATTCAGTATTTTAAAATTATATATTCTAAAAATAAATATGGTTAATAATAAGTGTTAATATGGAATTGAGTGATAAATTATTTTTTAATTTTTAAAACTAAATAAATAAAAGAAGATATCTGTGTTTAATATAACGGACAATTAAAAACGGATGGAAAATAAAAGAGAATGAATTGGAAAAAGGAAGATTTGATTCACATTTTTCCCTTTTTCTTTTTAAATTCTTGTGATGGAAGAGGAACTCAAAATACACAAGGTTCACTTTTGACACATAAGACCATAGAAATATATTCATTCTTTTTCTTTGACAAATTAAATTCACACCTTATTTTCACACATAGGACCATATACAAAACCCCTTGTTCAATTTCTTTTTCTACATATAAAACCTTTCTTCTTCTCTCTCCCCAAATCTTTTTCCTCTCCATTTTCTTAACAAAAACCATCTCTCAAAACTTCAACTTCAACCAAAGTCCAAACACACATAAACATACTTTTTTATAAAACAATAATAATAAAAATAATAAATCTAGGGTTATAATTATTATATGGATCCTCATCTTCATCACCATCAACATCAACATCATCTTCAACAACAACAACAACATCAATTTAGTCATCAAAGTGTGAATATCGATACAACAAGTGGAGGTGTTAATATTGGTACATATATATATTTTTTTCTTCTGACAATTTATCGTCTTTTGAGGTTTGCTTTGTTAGCTATCGCATGACACCTTATTATTTTCAGGAGGCGGAGGGGATAGATTCCCTCAATGGAGTATTCAAGAAACAAGAGATTTCTTGATGATTCGAGCGGAGTTGGATCAAACTTTCATGGAAACAAAAAGGAATAAGCTTCTATGGGAAGTCATAGCAACAAAGATGAAAGAAAAAGGTTATAATCGTAGCCCGGAACAGTGTAAATGCAAATGGAAAAATCTTGTTACACGCTATAAGGTACATATAATACATGTTTTAATTTTATACTATATAGAATTTTAATAATATTCTTGAATAAACAAAATTTATTAAAAAGCAAATGAAAAAAGAATAGACTTGTTCCTTCTAGCTTTTATCAAGTTTCTTTCCTAGAAAGTCACTTGCTAGAAGGACCAGATGCACCTTATATTCAACTATATACAAAACTAAATATCTATGTAAAAAATACTTAAGTTTCAACAAAAGTTAAGTTCTAGAATGTCTCTGCAATCTATACAAAACTTAATACAAAAAATACTTGAGTTTCAACAAACATTAAATTATGAATCCATAATTTTTTTTATAAAAGCAATATTTTGAGACTAAAATATCAAAGATTGAACTATTCAAGTTTAAATTCTAGAACCGTCTCTACAAGCTAAGTATCTTGACCTTGATGTTGTTAAGTTTGTTAGTAGAATTAAGTAGTTATGTTTACTTTATGCATTTCAATTATACTCATTTTTTTATAGGGATGTGAGACACTTGAACCTGAAGCTCTAAGACAACAATTTCCATTTTACAATGAGTTGCAAGCAATTTTTGCAGCTAGGATGCAAAGAATGCTATGGATAGAGGCAGAAGGTGGTGGTGGAGGAGGAGGAGGAGGAGCTAGCGGGTCGAAGAAGAAGGCTATTTCTTCTGATGAAGAGGAAGAGAATGATGATAGTGATGGAGAAAAAGTTGGCAAGAAGAAAAGAAAGGTTAAGGGAAATATTATTGTTGGTAATTCAAGTGGTGGTAATAATAATTTAGTGAGTAGTTTAAAGGAGATTTTGGATGATTTCATGAAGCAACAAATGGTAATGGAAATGCAATGGTTAAAAGCTTATGAAGCAAAAGAAGAAGAGAGAAGAATAAAAGAGATGGAATGGAGACAAACAATGGAGGCTTTAGAGAATGAGAGGCTAATGATGGAAACAAGATGGAGAGAAAGGGAAGAACAAAGAAGGATGAGAGAAGAAGCTAGAGCTGAGAAGAGGGATGCACTTATCACAACTCTTTTGAACAAGCTTAGAAGAGAAGATCACAACATGTAGGGGTGTACGTATCATCAGACCTTTCTAAAACAGTCATCATCTATAACAGTATTTCATTATAACAATCAAGTTTTTTTCATATCGTTATGTTATGAGTATTATCATATGTTCTTGATACTGTTATAGAGAGGTTTGATTTATGTATTTTAGGGTATAAAGAAAGTGGAATATTAGCTAGCTAGGAGATTAGACTAACTCTTTTTATCATCTTGATTAAATTTTGGCTGATGATGCTCTTGGGGATATAGTTAGAAAACAAGAAGCCTTTTGATAAGAAGTTTGTCTTTGGTGCTATCTTCTTGTAGTGAAAAAAACAAACTAAGTGTTAGTTCCATGCAATTCATGTCTCTTCTTTTATTTAGTTTGTAAGTTATAAAATTTCTCACTTTCTTGATCTTTATGTGCTTTTGAGCTTTTATCTTTATCTTGCATTTCTTAGTCATTATATTATTCTAGTGTGCAAAGCAACTTAATTACTTTTTTATGTTTGAACAATCTATGTGTAAAATTAATCTTATATATTATAGCAAGTTATGTATCATTTTATGAGTTTTTTTCATTTTATATTTACGTTATAAGTAATCTGGTTATGTAAATATTCGTTATACCATCAATGTATAGAATTTACATGTCTTGATGTCACATTATTTGTTCAAGGTATATATAGGGGGAATTATATATATAATTCCAATATAATGGTCTTTGTTTTTTTATGGAATAGTAGAAGTTTTTTTTTTTCATACGTGGATGAATGGAATACTATGGTGTAAACTTATTTACCATGTGAAATATATAGGCATTATATATATTAGCTGGTAGAACGCGTTAATAGAAAGTCAAAGTTTGGAGTTATAAGAGGATTCTGTTACACCTTTTTCATGGTGCTAACCTGTCTTGGTGATACTTATAATGATTGTCCATCTTTTAAATTTGCCATGTTTTTGTATTATTATTGTAATTGCTAGATAGGATCGAGAGGTTCATCTGTAGTTAATAGAAAATTACACTATTTATATAAGATTAAAATTACTATATAATATGTGAACACAGGCCACAGGGGCAGAGCTAGATAGGGTCGACGTCGAAGGGTTGGCAGAAAATTACACTATTTATATATGGTTAAAATTACTATTTATTTAATGTATGTAGTAGATGTCGAACCCTTTTCAACTTTTTTGTGTGTTTATTTTTTCATATTTTAAATTTCTTTAGTGAAAATTTTGACTTCGTTAGTAGGTGTGTATGTGTTTTGTAGACACTAATGGTGCACTATGAGCATTAGGTCATTAGCTACTCGATGGAGACCATTTATATTTAGGAAGCTAAGGTGGTGGTTGACAAATTAAATTGATTATATATATCTAGGTAGGTCTATCCTAGCTAGTACTATGTGGTTTTTTTTCTTTTCAAATCACCGCTTTGAGCTGTATAAAGATTGCAATAATGTAAAAATAAGGATTTAAAATACATGGAATTATATTCATCAAGACTATTATTTCATATATTTCAATTTATGAGACGTTGTTTGACTTTGACCACACACAAATGATCAAAAAGTATTGTCACCACAAATTTTAATATTTTTGACTATTTGTGTGGTTATAAATAATTAATTCATTAAGGGTTGTAAAAAAAAGTTTAGAATTAAATTATTTGTAACTATAAAAAGTGATGTTTTTTTGGACTGATTAAAAATGAAATTATGTTATATAAATTATTAAGACATAGAGAGTATAATATAAAGGGTTCATTGGACTTGATAAGTAATTTGGTGTATGCGATTTATTTTCATAGAAATTCTAGCATAGAACTTCAAATGAAGTCGTTTAGTTATTATTGTCAATTTTAATTTAATAATGATGCATTTATGATGAGGGGATCAAGTCTTTATTATCTTTCTATGTTTGTTGTAGAGTATGTATGAACAAATTTTAAATGACCAAGTACTTTCCTAATTCCTAAGAGCATTGATTGTGCATCTTAGTTCATTGTAGTTACCCATTTCTGCTATATATTCTTATAATACTCCTATTATTTCTTTCTTTTCAAAGAATGAAGAAATAAAAAAACAAGAAAATTGATTGTGGTGGTTCATGTATTTATTTTTGATGTCTGGTACTTATATTGGGGTCTGACTAAATTTGAATTCGTGTTGAAAAGTCTCATATCAGGGGTTAAAGTGTTTCTTAATAAAGGTCACTCCATACTTACTTCTGATTAAGAATAAAAAAGTATTTATCACTCTGGTAAATATAGGACAATCAATTTAATATTCAATGACATAGATATTTTAATTATGTTATAAGGGAAATTGATTGTGATGCAATGCATGTATCTCTTTCATAGGGAAATCTCAGAGTTTTAGTTATTTTTAGATAATCTTTTATTTTTCTAAGTTTTTCTTATTTATCATCCATATTAGTTATTTGTAAAGATTGAAAAAAGCCAAATACATACACAACTAATTATTTGACACCATTTTTCAATTTAGCCTTATTTCACTTTGATATTTCAACATTATTCAAAATGTGTATAGTAAGCCATTTTTTTTAATGTAGAAATGGGAAAGAAGGTGTTCCTCACTTTCCTTAAGCACGTGAATAAATTTAATATAATAATTTCTTTTGTTCTCCACTTAAAATTTTCACATTTTCTCTCTTTATTGTTATCGGTACCTGATTGGAGCCTGATTAATTCAGATTCACATCGTGTAGAGCTCATTTGGAGGGAAGCGCTCCCTATGTACTAAGATTTTTCTTACTCAAGGCTCGAATCCAAGACTTCTAATTAAAAGAAAAGCAGCCTCATCCACTGTATCACATTCTCTAGTGCTCTCTAATATTGTTCCACCATCCTTCTGCCCCTTCCTAAAGAAAACTATATATATATAATCTACTATGGTTTTTAAATTATTTATTTAACTTCAAAATAAATTATTCTGCATGTAATTTCATTCCAAAGATAAAAAAATTCTACTAAGTAAAATCTTATATTATTTTTGCTGAATTATCATTGTAAAAGTATAATTTATTAGTCATCTTCAATTAGTTTATGCTAAATTGTTTATTTATATTAAATAAAAATTGTTAGTTTACTTTTTAAGCTCTCTTCATTTATTTTGTATATAAATTTTATTTAAGTTAGAACAATAGAACTTATTACTCTTTATTTTTGTTCTTTGTTGGTAAGTCGTAACGTAATAACTTTAATCTTTATCGATAATAAAAGAATTTTAAATTTGTACACTCTTTTCCCCCTCTCGCTATATGACTTCGTATCATTGTCGATGTAAGCAATTTTTATAATATAAAATCATATTCACGTGTTATTATCTATTTTATATTCAACAATATAAATAACACATTTTTTTAAAAAAAATTACAAGTGAACGACATACATTGGATGAAAATTGCCATATATTTCCCCCATGGAAAGTGTGATTCTTTAATTTTTCCTGTTTACTTTTTTTATGTACCACGTTGCTAATGTAGAAACTTCCTGATGAATGTTTGTACATATATAGATGAGGAATTTGAATTTAATATTTTGTGTTCATATGTAACAAAAGAAAAGGCCAACTTTTATAATATTTAGTTTGCTTTGGTCCCAAATATAACTATACACTTGAACTAACCAATTTGATTTCTTTCTCCTGTGATGATTTTTCCTCCTAGCTAGCTACATCAAATATTAATTTGGTTTTCTAAACGTTATAATATAAAACAAATAAAGATAATATTCTAATAGTGGACGTGATTCTAAATAAAATGATATGGAGGTTGAGGATTAAAGTAACTGCATAGTATTTATCTTATTCTCCTTTTTTTTTTTAAATTACTATGTATTATTTCATTTGTTTTATTAATTTATTATGTATTTTTAGTCATTATTTTCTTTTTCATGCAGCTTTGATTGTACTTAGTTGAGTTGTCGATCTATCAAAGAATCATCTCTACCCACAAATGTAGGGATAAGGTCTCTATATACATATTATCCTCCTAAGATCCTACTTATGAAATTATATTGAATAATATGTTATTGTTATATATATGGTAAAGATAACAATCTAGCTTGGAGTTTCATCTTCGTTCATGCATCAACAAAAATCTATATGGTGAGGGGTCAAGGAAGCTAGAAGGCCACGAATTTAATTATCGATAGCTTTTGTTCAAAAAATTACATTATATATATAATTAGTAAAAAAATATTTATTTATGTATAATAATATAGAAATTTTGATTCGTCTTGACTCCAATTTTCATATTTTGAAATTATTCAATAAAAATTCTGACTTTACCGCTCAAATATATATGTGCTATGTTGATGAATTAAGCAAATAATTAGAAGACTTCCAAAACATTTCACATGACACATACATACAAATAACAATGCATAACGTAACATGCTTGGTCTTTTTTCTTTTTTTTCTCAAAGGCCAAATTGTGGACGTTTAATTTTGTTTGTGTTTTTCGAAGTAGCTGCCTCGATTTTTCTTTATAAAAGAGCAAACAAACTAATGAGATAATCGTGAGTCCAATAACGGAAATAATCATACGTTATTAATATAAAAGATGTTATAAACCAAGTCAAACTAAACTGTCTTATATATGACGTATCAATAAAGACAAATTTAAAATTTAAATTTTATAAGTTTGATATTTCAATTTTTTAAGTTATTAAGTAAATAATATGTATATAATATATTTTTTTAATATGAATAAAAAATTTGAAATAAAATTATTAATTTTGACAAAACCCACATATTAAGAGTGTCAATGAGGGGATGAGTCAATCCATTATATAAAATCGAGTTAGCCGGGGGTTTTGTTGTTTTTTATTTATTTGTTAAATTGCTAAAATTAACATTAAGAAATGTGTATATTATTTTACATTTCTTAAATACGCATATTTCTTGTCACATATAAAAATTCATTCATCTTAATTAAGTAAAATGTTTAACAATTATCATTTAGATAAATGTTTTTAGGTTAAAAGTAATACTTATCTTTTTAAAGGATGTGTAAAACACTTGAAAAGGAATCGTTTGGAAGGGTG